GGAGCTGGGGCTGTTTTGCCTGGACAAAAGAATGCTCAGCAGGGACTTTAACACTCTCAACAACTACCTGAAAGGAGATTGTAGCCAAGATGGGGGTCAGTCTCTTCTCCCAAGTAACAAGGGACAGGGCAAATTTCAAATGACCTCAAGTTGTCCCAGGGGAGGTTTAAATTGGATGTTATGAAACATTTCTTCATATAAAGTGTTGTCAAGCGTTGGAACAGCCTACCCAGGGAAGTGGTTGAGTCACCACCCCTGGAGGTAATTAAAAAATGTGTACATGTGGCAGTTAGGGACATGGTTTAGTGGCGGACTTGGCAGTGCCACACTAATGGCTGGACTAGATCTTACAAGTATTTTCCAACATAAAAATGACATAATGACAATGATGCTATGATTCCATAATAAGTCAAAAAGAAATCTTATTTCAAATCAAATTTTGTAGATTCTGCTACTATATTTTCAAAAATAACTTGCATGACATTATTGATTCTAAATTAACTCATTTACTCTGTGTATTCCAGTGCTTTCCAGAAATTGCATATTTCTTAATAATGTATGTTTCATGCAGAAGCATGGCAGCCTTGGAGTTGTTATTCTGCCAGGCTTATAAGTAGCTATAGGGTTTCTTCAAGTGACACTAAGGACTATCACCCTGTTTTGGGGATCTGAGTTACTGTCAATGCAATGAAAGGCTTAAAGTGACTTAAGTGATCACTGACCAGACCTGAAACCCCAGAAGAGTAATACAGAACACAAAAGCAATGACATTTAAAATATCTTTACTTTTTAATGGTTTTGCTTCCTGTACCAAACTTGTTCACTTGTTTCGCTAGCTCTTGAACCATGACATCATTTTTCTTATTTAAAAAAATCCCCAACACTCCAATTGAAATCAAAGATTGTAAAAATATAATTTTTAATCATTAAACTAAACATAAGGAATTCAAATTCTTGTACTCCAAATCCTCAGAAATTGTTTACAAAGAGCTTTTGAACATGGAGAATCAACATGAACTGTATATAACCGAGTTCAAAAAATATCCACAGATATTCTATCCACAGAACTCCAGAAGATCTTACTACCTTTTCCCTGTTCTATATGTAAAAGAAGAAAAGGCCATTTATTTGACAATTAAAATAATATTTTTACTGTATGAAGATATACACAACCATAAAAACATTGCAAATAAAGAAATTCATTCCTTATTTTCATTATGAAACAAAAAATAGAGAAAAAAACTCCAGGAAAATTAAATTGCAAACATAAATCTTGAAAAACACATAACTGGCATTATGACTGCAGGTGCTGCTCAGCTCATATCGATTTGTTCCACACTGAACACCATGACATCATTTTTTCTTCTCAATCGTCCCAGTTTTTTCCCCCATTTTGAGCTTCTGTTTTTTCCAAGTTGAATATGTTTCAACCCTGCTCCCATTAACCCAGATGCAATTTTGATTGTTATTTCTTTTCCATCAGCTGGCTGTTAAATGAATATTAATTTTAGTGTGTCAGAAGCAGGGAAGGGAGGCAGCTCACCCCTGGGCATCTGACAGCAAACCCTTAACCCCTACTAAAAGCCTCGAGTGCTCTTAGCTTGGATGCAGAGCTCAGCATCCCCCAAACCCAGGCTTTTGCTGGAAGCAAAAGTGTCTACCCAAAAGAAGTGGCTATTTCTGAGGTTACCTAGACTACAAGAGCACTCTGAAATCACTGAACAATATGCAGAAATGAGCCAGTCATACAGCTTAGCAGTGGCTGAACATCTTTGGCATAGTATCTTGAGGTTTACAGCATTACTTAAATTAAAACATGGATTTAAAATGGAAAAAAAAAATCACTAGCTAATAGGCTTTGACTAGGTGAGAGTCAGACTTATTAGCACAACTGACCTTACCCAAAGTCAATTAGAGAACATGCAGAACAGAGGACACCTAAGCCTGCACAACCAACTACTGATGAACACACTGATGCAAAAAGGCTTATTTTAACAACAGATTTAATTGTTACAGTCAAAAGCTGTTCTCCATGGCATAGCTAATAAATATAATACAGCTGAGGTTTTGGATATCCAAAACCTAGTGCTGCATCTACACTGCACAGATTTGTTAGCATTACTCCCTGATAGTCTCCTGTTCCACAACAATAATTTTTATCAGCAAAGTCTTATCCTTTCTATAGCATAAAATATATAATTCTAGGGAGCATTTTGTTTATCTTTCTGCTGGTACATGGAATGCTTTCAGGGCCTCCAAGACAAAAATCATCTCACAGACATCTTAAAAAGGAGGAGAGGTGCTGAATATGGAAGATGAAGTTTATTTGTATAGCTACCCGATGCCTCTAGAAAGCAGGGTGTTCAGGTGTCCAGAGTGGTGAACATACCAATACAGTTATCCAGATGTGCAAACTCTCACCCACTGAATGTTTTAGCAAACACACCAAAACTTTACTTAAAACCCCTTGTTAACTGTTGCATTATCTGGTCTGACATTTTCATCCTGTGCATTTAGGAGGAGGCCATATTTTAAGTCTCTGTAACACACTATAGGATCCCTGAGGCTGCAAGTGGTAACCTAACTTACACCTTCTGCTTCTACGTATCCATCACACTGGGGCTCTAAGGTACAGGTCGTTTATGGTGTCTCACAAGATATCTAGCAAAGCCAACTTGGTCCACAATGAGCAGTGCAAAGGCATGATAATACCCAAAAGCAATTTATAGGAACATAAATAGTCTGCAGTATTCTGTAGAAACTAAATTAACCTGAGAGGCAACCATTGCTTGTATGCCATGAAGCATCTCAGTTTAGGCATGACCTATTTTCCTATTGAAGGTCCCCACCCTGCCACTCCAGCACCACCAGAGATGCCACAGAGATTATGGCATTTTTTCAAAAAAAAAGACAGAATGATATAGCAGTGAAAAGAAAGCTGAAGGAAAGCAATACCTAAATCAAAGGAGTGACACACTGGCAGTTAATTGCCAATATGGTGACAGGAACGGAAAGAACTGACAGTTCAGAAAGAAAGGTACAAGAGACCTGTGACAGGGGAGTAACAGAGGTAAGTGCAGCATCTGCTATACATAGTGACCTAACAACCGAATTCATCTCCTTCAGCAGAAAAAGAGCCCAGGAAATCTCCTACAGCTCATCTAAGGTTAATTACACCAATAACCCCTGGAGGAATCCCCCACATGCCCTGTGAAACAGGTGCTGTGCAGGCCCAGTGAGCTCCCATTGGGAGAGACACCTGGGAGCCCCGACTGCTTCCCACCTTCTCCTCACCACCCAAAGGGCTTTGTGGCAGAGAGCTCCAAGGTATTCCATCCTTTCTTCCTGAGGCGTATTGCCTCACACTGAAACAAATCTATCATTTGTCACTTCTTGTGAACACAATAAGGAACACAATAAATTAACTCCAGAGGATTAGGGAGAAAGAAAAGCCCACATTTCACTATAAACTGTTGCACTAATAACATTACTAAGTATAAGACATATTTGTACAGGGAACTGTTCTGAAAGAACTAAAGCACCCAGCTTTGTGGCTCTTTCAGTGCACAATTAGAGTAGAAGATACATGGACTGTGGGACAGCAAGAATAAAGGAGAGTATAGAAAAGGAATGGGCAGCACTAGTCCCAGCTTCGGCACACACCACACTGACTACAGGTAAAACCTGCTGCTGTGCTGCACTTCTGTGCTACAGGGACATTCTGCTTCAGCTCAGTGCTTAGGCGACAAAAGACGGATACAGGGAGCTCGCTGATTGTGCTGAGAAAGACCACGGGAAGATGATTTGACACATACAAAATTTCCTAAGAACACTCCAGTTCCCAGGAAGACCTCATATCAGTAGAAATGATGCTTTCCTCCTCCCCACTGTGGTTTTCCTTAAAAAAATATTTTTCTTAGAAATACCTCCAAATGGAAGAGATACTTGGACAGCTCACTGCTAACTTCAGACAGCTTCACTCTACATTCAGGCACGGCCTGACACCCCTTCAGAAGTGGACTTTAAGAAGGGAACAAGACAAAATAGCCATTGCACTAATGAAATAAAACAACAGCACAAAGACTAGATTTGGCTTCCACAAAAAACCTCCAGATGAAGTCAGCATCTGGCAGCAACCATGTGGAAAGGCTGCCCTGGCCTCTAAATGATGGGTGATGTTTTTCAGCAAAATCTCAAACTTGGATCCAAATCATTCTTTAAAAAAGCCAACTACACTTGGGTATCCACATTAATAGAAGAATTTATCCTGGAAAAGGCAATGGTGAGTGTGACTCTTTCTGAAGCACAGCACTGTTTGTCAGTTTAAAAACCTAATTCACCTGGATTCACCATGATGATTTTTGGCTTTGGGTGGCTGTTACATACTTCTCAGTATATTAAGCATGAATACATCGAACACCAACACCCACAATCATGCCTCGAGCAAGAATCCAGAACTAAGCTGCAATTTAAACAATTTGTTCATGCAAACAGAGGAGTATATCCATACACGCCAAGCTGGATTCTGTATGCAAAGACAACAACTTAAAAAAACCAAACCACAGATGCACGTACAATCGCAGTAGGGAAGGGAGGAAAAGAACAGAAAAATCACATCTACGATTTCCGTTTACAGCCTGTCCTCGGACGACAGCGCGATGATGCATCTCCCTCCCCATCCCCAGGCCGCTGGCACCGCACCGGAGGCGCGGCCGGGCCCCGCCGCTGGGCGCTAACAGGTGCTGCACCCCGAGCCGCGCACGGCAACTTCTCCTCGGCAGCACTTCCAGCTCCAGCTGGCTTATTTTTCTCCTTCCTTTCCCGTCCTCGCCCCTTTCCCAAGGCTCGTCGCCGCTCGGGTTTACCCCCGCGCCGACGCAACTTTGGAGCGGAGAGGAAGGGCGCGGAAAGGAGAGGAGGGGATGCGCGCCCGCGGTCCGCTCCCGTCCCGTCCCGCCCGGTGCCGTCCCGCCCGGTGCCGTCCCGCCATCGCGCACCACCTGCGCGGCCATAAAGGAGAGGTCCATGGTGCTGCCGCTGGAGCTGCTGGCGGAGCTGGCGGAGGTGCTGAGGCTGCCGCTGCCGCTGCTGCTGCTGCCGGGGGCGGGCGGGGCGCGGGGGCGCGGCACCGGCGCCGCCTCCCCCAGCAGCGGCGGGCGCGGCCGCGGCAGCGGAGTCGACACCGGTACCAGTTCCAGCTCCGGCAGCTCCCGGCACAGCCCGGCCCGGCCCGGCGCGGCTCGGCGAGCGGCTCCGGCAGGGGGCGGTGGCGGCGGCGACCCGGCCCCCGCACTGGGCTGGGCTGAGCCCGCCCCGCGGCGGGGGGAGCCCGCGGGCGGCACCGCCTTCCCCGCCCCGCCCGCAGCACCTGTGGGGCGGCACCGCCCCGGCACCGCGCACCGGCCCGGCCGGCAGATGCTGAGGGCTCCGGACCCGCTCGGGACCCCCGCGCCGGAGCAGCCTGAGCTGACACAAAGCCTCTCGGTCTCCGGGGGCGAACAGGGGCTGGAGTGCACGCGGAATGGCCCCACAGCCCCGGCCTCGCGCGAGGCATCCCGCTGGGAGCGAGAAGCCTGGGTGCGCGGGCACAGGGAGGTGGTAGCGGCACCGGGAATCCCCAGGCTGGTCCCGCCGGTCGGAGCCGGTGCTGGGGAGCAAAGTGATGCCCTCACCGAGGGGCAGGGGCAGCTCAGCTCAGCTCCGCTCTCGCGGCATGTGCAGGTCCTCTGCATCACACAAATCTCTGAGATCCATACTTGGCTGCCACACGCCTGATTTCTTGCACAGCTTGCTAATCCATCAACCTGGTTTTAAAATACTCGGGGCCAGCTCCACTGCTCACCACGGCCGAAAAGAGCTCCCGACAGCTCATTCTTACGCCGTTTCATGGTTTAGCTGTTGGAACTTTATTTTCAACTTCTCTCTTGTTTGCAGAATTTACTATTCAACAATTCACAATGAACATATTTTGTCCCTTTTCTTATGCTTTCCCCTGTGTCTCACAGATATTGTTATCACTTTGCATGAAAATTCAGTGGTTTCGCTTACCGATTGATTCTGGAAAACCTTTGACACCAATCCAAAAAGTAGGATAATAAAAATGTACGTTCTATATGTTGAAAGCTTTTTTTGTATGTGATTTTTTTATCACCCTTCTGACATGTACTTCTTGGCTCCATCTCCAAGGCTGAAATCTTTGATCATGTTTTTACTGCTTCAGCATATTGCGGGAGTCTGAACCAGGAGTATATGCCAACAGCAAAAGCACCTGGAGGATCAGCTTTGCACTGGGATTTTAAACTCTCAAGGAAAAAATAGGCCCTAATTCATCCTACGTACTGTTAACTCCATGCTATTTTGCCAGTATACTGTTGCAGCAGGAGGTGGTGAAAAGAAAATCAGCTGTTTTAAATCAGTCCTTTACTTCAGTGACTATAAAGTGTCTGCCAAAAATGCTTTTATGTCGAGGCCCATTAAGTAAACAAGTAAAATCCCAAAGAGGCAATGCCATTTTAAGATTTTTTAATTCAGTTGTGTAAATAATGAAATTGTCTCTTTGTAGAGTCTCTCCAAGTTTTGAAAGGGTATTGATGTGTGTGTTTCAGAAGCCATAAATTAACTTCAAAGCAGTGTTAATCTTTTATCATCCAGATAAATTTTAAATGCACTGGGTAAACATCTCTACATAGTGAATGTAGCCTGGTCAGTCACCGCATCTGCAATAACAGCTACAGTAATAACAGAATAACAAAACACTTAAGGTTTCAAAACCACACTGACTTCTGTACTTGTTTAATTCTGTGGAGCATGAGAATTGGAAAGAAAGAGCTGGAAAGGACCTCAGGAAATAATCTAGTCCATGCATCTGGTTAAAATACAGTGACCCTCCAAACAGGGGGTTTATCTTTACCTAAAGTCTTCTTTAAAGTGTCCAATGAGGAATATGAAGAATAAGTTATTTGCTTTGGGGCAACCACTTGGCTCCTGAGAACTGCTCTTTGTGTTTGTCTTTCTCCAGTTTTGTGGTATCTTGTCCAACACCTGAAAGTGCTCAAGGAGGATTGCTAATGGTAACAAGATTTTTCAGTCAGATTTCCAAAAATTTTATTGTGACATTCAGCAAGTTCAGCTACCTAATGGTGTCCTGGCTGAGATCTTCTTTATCACCGGTAACAATACAAGACACTTTCTTGTTTTACTGACTGATGGCACATCATCACTTTGGCTTTCTTGGCATCAAATTTTATTAATTTTGCCTTTCCACTGAGAAATAGAGCAGCATTTTTCTTGGTCGATTCATGTAATTCTGGAAAAAATTCTTTTTATCCTTGGTATCTCAAAAATTGATTTCCTCGTATTTGTGTCATGTAATTACTCACTTCAGGAATACCCTGTAGACCAATTATTGCAGAAAAAAAAACGTGAACTGCTCAAGTTTCAAATTCTTTATTTCCATACTGACTACTGGAACAACTCTTTCTCTGTAAAAAAATTGATTTAACAGAAGCATTGTTCCATACAGGGGACAGTGATCTTGGCTACTTTCAGTTTCGATGACAAAAATATATAACTTTTTTCCATCTTTGTTTATGAGGTTTCAGTAATATGAAAAATTGCTGGCTGATGTCTATGTATATAAATTCCTCCTAGTCTAGTGAACTACATACAGTGCCAGTGGAAAGTAGTAGTCATCACTAAATTTTGTAGATGCTGTAAATTTATCAGTAATATAGAAAACTGCTGTATTTGTTAAGCACTCCGCAAGTTTGATTTAAGATGTAGATGGTAAGGGAATAATAGATGAAAAAACTATTGCATATGCCAGCTGACCTGCTTCTGTGATGTAAATATGACCATTCATATATTCCTTTAGATGCCACTAAGTATTACTTCCTATTCTTGATCTGAGTTAGGAATTTGGCTAAATTTTCTTGGAAAATAGTGCCAGTCAAAACCAGTTCCTGTAGAAATACTTGTAGTGAAATTGCCCCTTTACTTGGCAGAGGTTTTTAATATGCTTCCCTACTTGGAGGAGGGTTAGGTTCATTGGAACAGCATTTCTATTTCCAAAAGCCGTCCAAACCATTATCAAATTTTGTTCTAGAAAATTATTATTAACTGTCGCAATGTCCTCAATCTCCAAGCTGTTAATTTATCATTCATATTTCTTAAGCTTGACAAAGGGAAAAAAAAAATATCACTCTTCAGTTTTCACTTTTACTTTTTCTCTAGTTCACTATCTTGTTTGTGGAACAGCTTGGTTTTGTACTGTTCAAGCTGCAAACAATTTCTGAGGAAAACAAAATTATTTATGTTCATAGAATCATAAATCATTAAGGTTCCAAAAGACCTCTAAGATCGATCATCAAGTCCAGCTCTTAACCTAGCACTGTCATGTTTACCATATGTCCCCAAGTGCCACAACCACACACTTTTTGAACACTTCTGAGGATGGTGATTTCATCATTTCCCTGGGCAGACTCTTCCAATGCCTGACCACCCTTTCAGGGAAGAAATTTTTCCTAACATGCAGACTAAACCTCCCCTGATGCAACTTGAGGCCATTTCCTCTTGTCCTCTTGCTTGCTACTTGGGAGAAGAGACCGTTCCCCACCTGCAACCTCCTTTCAGGCAGATGTAGAGAGCAATAAGGTGCCCCCTGAGCCTTCTCTTCTCCAGGCTAAACACCCCCAGATCCCTCAGCTGCTCTTTCTAAGGCTCCAGTCCTTCACCAGCTCTGTTGCCCTTCTCTGAACACACTCCAGCACCTCAATGCCTTTCTTGTAGTGAATGGCCCAGAACTGGACACGGGATTCCAGGTCTGGCCTCACCAGTGACGAGTACAGAGGGATGATCACTGCCCTGGTCCTGCTGGCCCCACTATTTCTGATCCAGGCCAGGATGCCATTGGCCTTCTTGGACATACTTCTGGCTCATGTTCAGCTGCTGTCGACCAGCACCCCCAGGGTCCTTTTCCACTGGGCTGCTTTCCAGCCACTGTGCTCCAAGCCTGTAGCAGTGCAGGGGGTTGTTGTGGCTCAAGTGCAGGGCACTGCCTTGTTGAACCTCATACTGTTGGCCTCGGCTCATCAATCCAGCCTGTCCAGATCTCTCTGCAGAGTTTTCCTACCCCACAGCGGGTCAACACTCTCACCCAAATTGGTGTCATCTGCAAACTGACTGAACACTTGATCCCCTCATCCAGATCATCTATAAAGATATTAAACAGGACTGACCCCATAACTGAGTCCTGGGGAACACCACTTGTGACTGGCCATCAGATGAATTTAACTCCATTTGCCACCACTCTCTAATCTTTTATTATGATACTACAAATGTAAAGGTTTGTTTTTTACTCTTCCCCCAAAATACATTTTGGATATAAATTGCTTTATAATAGCTCTGGAAGTTCTTCTGTAAAACAAGTATTTCAGACATGCTTCTGTCTTCCAGTAATGATGATGCACACTTTGAATTGAGATCTGATAGCTGTCCTGCCAGCCTTATGTCTGGCTTTCTCATCAAAATATTTAGATCACTTAAAAAGATTATGTCATGATTTGCTATTTGTATGGACAGACATTGTAGCACCCAGCTAAAACTGCAAACACGGTTGCATAACATTATTCTTAAAAATGAGCAAAGAAGCTCTTTAATTAGCTTTAAAGCTGTTTGCTAAAAAGACCACATTTTTCAGTACAGTGGAACACAACTCAATTAGAGAATAGTTTGGTTTGTCAGTTTTCCTGGGGCATAGTAGGAAATCCTTTCTTGCACTGCATGTGCACATAAGCTCTGCCTTTGCTTAACAAAACAGACCTAACAAAACATGACAATTGAGTCTTGCTGCCGAAAAGGATTTTAAATGGATTCGTATCTGTACAGCCCCACATACCATATGTTGTATTTAGATACCTTAGGCAATACAGAACCAATTTTTAGCTTTGTATCGCTGATATCACATTTAAATCTTACATTTATACAAAGGGAGACTAAGTTCCCACTTTGAGGAGAGATAGTAATGTTGGTTCCTTGTTGCATTTTAATATACTTAAATGCTATTCCCTTTGAGCCCCATTTTAAACCTACTGTTGCCTCATTGCATCAGGTTGCAGTTACACAAGGCAATTAATTCCCTCAATGAAGAATCAGCCACAGTGACATGTGGTATCCAG